TACAACTCGTCTGCTGATCTGTTGGCATCTCTGCCTTCTCGCCGCTTGACAAGCCTTCTGTCGGGTGCCCGTTGAGCTTGTCCCAGTGAGGGGTGAGACGGAGAAACCATGGTCAACAATAGCATTGTGCGCTTTTCCCTGGGATACATACGATCCCAACATTGGAGGGATCCTCATACGGTTTCCGTCCTTCTATTATCTCAATTGGCTCATTTTTCGGGTGGGGGGGAGGGGAGGGGGAGTGTAAAACAACGTCTGGAACGATAAATAATCGAATCTTCAGCTAAACTGGATCTCTTCTTGATGAAAATTTTTCCACTCACAAAAAATCACCTCTTCCAAAAATACAGTGACTCGTTCGGTCAATCATTTCCCTGAATGTGACGCTTCCACCCTCCGTCCCATCGAAAATTCAAAAATCACAAGCGGAAACCCTCCCCTTCCCACCGTGGGGAGCTTTTCAAGGTGGGTAACGCTAAAAAGCCCTCCGTTGGATGATCTCCTCAGACAATTTTTTTGTAAAATGGAGAATCGTCCACTGTTTCGGATAGAGATTAAGGGCGCACTTTTTTCTCTAACTTCCTGAGCTCCCTGTCGACTTCAGCAAATTGCCCTCACCATCAGATTCACACCTTTTTTGCTTTCATTATCCGTTTTTGAAGAAGGGCGTAAGCCAGTAATCATGCCACTGTACAGCCTTTAGAATGTGACCTCGCTTGGAGCATCCAAGCCTCCCATTCCCTTGGACCGCTTAGCGTGATTCCTTGCTGGTAAGGGAGGTAATTTCAACATCAGTAGACGTCTACAGTTCACTACACTAACCAAATCGCTGCCTCACGTTGACACTCATCAAAATTGTAGCAGTTTCGCAATTGAAGAAATGATTTACTGTTTCAGATGATGATCTCCAAACAGGCGTACACGTTATCAGTCCTGGCTACTCAATATGCGTTTCCATTATTCTCTTTGGTGTTTGCATATACGCGAATTGCTCATCGTATGAAGTTGCGATTCGCCAATCGAAATATGCCATTTCCGAATACGCTAAGTCAAAATCAAAGAAGAAGGTAGCCTGTTTTCTGGGGTTAGCTTTCCTTCCTCTCAATAATGACATCTATTTTCAGATCAGTAGTGGAACGGCAACGTCGTACTCATTTGCTACTCATGTGTGTCGTTGCCGTGTTCGCAATTGCGTGGCTGCCACTGAATGTTTTCCACATGGTATGTCTATTTTTGTTGTCCGCTTTATATAGCCCTTACAACTTCAAGAAAACAGAGTCTGTGAAGCCTCAGATAGAGGGAACTCAGCTTATCGTAACGTACTTACCATACTCAGCCTCCTGCGGGTGTAGCGTTGTCAACGCCACGAACCGTGAGAAATTGCCGTGGCAACATTGCAGGGCTTAGTCAATGCTTTCACCGTGTCGTTTAAGAAATACCTTTAAATACACCTCTCTTGAGCAGCACTTGATGCAACTTCTTTATGCCCTTTATCATTGGCGTAGGTGTAAAGAGTGGTAGTGATGCACGATAGGATTGAAATCGAATTTGTAACGATGTCGAGTCGTAGCCAAGTGCATGGCTCGCGTATTCTAGTTCTATCTAGTTCTTTCAAGTAGACCTCTTGTGCCTCTTATGAACTGTTTTGAGGGAGTAAGGGTAAAACACTGAATTGAACATCGGCTCATCCGTCCCTTGCGCATTCGTACATAGTTTAAAGGCAAAGTTCGGGCTCAGACCCACCTAAGAAGCCCTTACCATGGCTAGAAGTGCTGGGCACGCAAGTGCAAAGTTAGCGCCACCTTTCTACATCGAAACCCGTCACAGGACCCTAGGCGCCATGAACTTCTAACAGACTCCACCAAACATAACATGGTCCGCCCACCGATCGATGTCTTGTCTGCGTCGCTGCGTTGATCTGCTATGCTCTCTCTTCTCGGAATTCTCTACCACCCTCGCGCTCACATTATCTCTCATCTCCCTCCCTGTCTTTTGAACTTCTCCACAGCATTGAGCAAAATGCTCGTATTTCCTGTGCATGTCAGGATTTTCTTCCTTTTTTCTCCACGGGTCCACCTCTCATCCCTACTTTCACATTTGAGTGGAATCAACCCATCAATGTAATCCTGAATCTTGCCTCAAGGCACTTGAATGCAACCCCACCGGTGGTTTAGGTGGCACCTTTCGGAACGGAAATCAGTCCAACGCGCATGCATTTATCCATTAGATTTGAATTGGAATTAATTATCTCACGCGAATTCGATTTTATTAGCAACGGAATTCTTTCACTTCCGTTACTCCGCGAATGGGATGAATTGTCATGAGAGTACATGTAATGAGATAGGTGCCGGCCAGGGAACAAGAGGTGGGAGCGGGAGAAAGTACCAGTCACCGGCCTTATAGGAAACACGAAGGTGGACAAATCTTGTCAAACTCCATGCTTGCGGTCGTGTTGTCTATAGTGAGCATTGGAGCGCGTATATTTCGTATCATGAAAAATCTTACCTCTTACTCTCCTATCATGACCACAACTTTCTTCTTTGGTGACCGTTTGACAGACGACCGTTTGAGACAAAAAAGAACTGGAGTGGGTTGGTAAATTTTCTTTTGAACATTAACCCTTTGACGACAATGGCACCCACCGGTGGGTGCCACTATGTTCGCCGCGTGGGACAATGGCACCCAATGGTGGGTGCCACCTTAAAATTTCCTTCTTTGTGCATTTAAAACATTTGTAACACCCCAATAATTATAAGCAAGTTCCATAATATCTATGCTAGCACGACTTACAGAAATGTTTACTAAGAGCTAATTTATATAGAATTTTAGAATGTGCCATTTAGCTCGCCAGCATATTAATTGGGGTTTTGCATTATTAGGCGAAGATTAATTACTAATCAGGACTTCTTCGTCTTCTCATAGCCCTCAGATATGGGAAGGGGTTTGAAGTGTATCGAAAATTCTCTTGGACACTTAAACTTTTAGAGGTTTTGCCCTCCTTCCCTTTAAAACCCGAGTTCCCTTCCAAATTTGGAATTCTCTTGAAAACAATATACAGTATGAAAGCCTAGAACTGCAGTTATATCTGGTATACTGTTAAAGTCAAAAATTCTATAGAAAAACTGCTTGAGGGACAATTTTGCCCAATTGTGAGCGAGAGTTGGGCGCGCCAAAAAGAGGCGTGGTCCCACGAGCAAGCTACGTGCAAATCCGCATTGTCGTCAAAGGGTTAATGAACTGTTCTGATGCACCCTAGTTTGAAAAAATCTCTTTGCTGTAGAATACTTTGCTGTAGAATATTCAAGGAAATTGAACGCGCGCGGGTTCACGGAGACTAATCGAGACATTCTCCTATGTGCCCTTTGGCAAAAGTGAGCTGATTCGGAAATTACAGTTTTCCCTTTATTCAACAAGTTCTCAAATTGTTTTGCAAATTTTGATCTCAGAAACCTCCCTGCTGAAGAATTAATAACAAAATCCTAAACCACCAGAAAAGTCGATTATTCTTGCACTAGTGCACGGAACTTCGCCCGAAAGCTTGGAATTACTTTCAAAACGATTCTGTTTGTATGAGATAAGAAAAGGGAGGGGTGCATTTGACGTTAATCGATCTCGCTCTGCCACGCGCCATGCATACGACTTACACACAGAAGTGTATAGAAACGTGTCAACCCTGCAAAACAGCGTGGTGGTGCAAGCCAATGGACTTCTGAGTTGTAATAACATGAACCCGGACCAATATGTGGCATTAGTGAAGTTATACTTGCGCTTCACCCCTCCCTTATTTACATTCTTTTCTTTGCAATCATATTCCTGGAACGAAAACACTAATCGGTGAGGGGTGCTGGTGGTGCTCCCGGTGCTTACACCCCCTGCCATTAGGTCCGTTATGATGATCCCGTTGAGTATCGCTCAGCGCACTATGTGCTCCATTCGGTCGCGATGAAATTGCCGCGCGTAGGGCCGCCGCTCACTGATTCTGTCCATACAACAATAAATTCTCGATAAGATCAGAACCTTCATATGCTTTACTATTTATTAAATGTTCCAGGATGTGGTGTTCACTTGCGACTTTTCAGGTTAATACGTTCGAGTGGGTGTCACTCTTCTCCGTGTCAACGTTCGCCGTCTGCCATGTAGCAGCGATATGTGCTCTGCATGTCTTAACCCCCTTATCTACGCCTTTTTTAACCATAATTTCCGAACGGAATTCATCGCCCTTTTCGAAAAATTGGGCCTTCGGTGAGCAATAATTTCGCGATCTATTTTTATCTTATATCTTAGCGAGCATAATATGAATCAACATCTGAACGTGATATTTCAAAGCCAATATGACCTCACAGAATTTAAAGCAAAATTAGGGATGTTCCCACGAGAAAAAAAAATGTCAAAATACAATACAGACAGAGAGGAAGTTGCTCCATTGGCAGAGGTGGTATTCTCCTAATGCAGATAAAAAAATGTGGCGAGTTCAAACCCAGCGTCGACTGAGATGATGTCGTGGAAAGTACTTTTCATACAAGAAATCGTTGCAAACCCGTATCTGCTAAAAGACATGAGCCGTTTAACGCCTTAAACGACAGCTGCGCTGAGTAGCCGCAAAATGCAGCGTTGTAGCTCATCCTTGTTCCGCTCCCCAGCCAGTCCCCTAATTCTCTGAAATTTATTTCGGCTGTTCCACATCCCTCTGCCGGCAACCAGTTTCATTACATTCTGATAGCCGCATGCGCTTGTGGACCGGTGCGGGACAGGTGCCCAAATCATTCCGCTCCGGGAATTCCCTCTGTGCAAGTTGGAACATTCAAACGAACAGACAACAAGGTTGCACGTGCGCATGTACAACTGAAGTGAACTTTTGGAACCCGAATTCATTCGGATTTCAGAAGAACCTCGGTTCTTATCAAGTAAAGAAAGAAAACACATTATAAACGGAATAATTAAAATGGTTCGTTTCGCTCCTTCCTCAGACGAACCTCGTCAATCCCCGGAGCAGGACTGGTTTTGAGAAAGATGAAATAGCACGCGCAGAAATGGAATTCAAAAAAGCGGCAAATTACGATTTTTCCATCGGACAAAGTGGGCAAAACTATTGCTGCTCTTTGGTGTGAGCAGCTAGCCGTAGACCGCAGATTGATGAGCGCTAGCGCACTCGAAGAGTCGAAAGTCAGAGCGATATGTTGAAAGGGAACCATTCTGGGCACTGACTCTAGGTTCATGAATGGACTGTCGACGGAACGGCGCTTGAGGCTGAGCTAGAGCAGTCTATCTCATTCCTGCTAAAGTGCTCTCTGAACGAAATTACGGTAATTTTGGCTGCTCGACGTCGCTGATTAGCCAAATGAGGCCTATGACGGTGTCTAGTTGGATTGCTGACGTTATAAGGCTTTTTGCAGGAAACTTCGTGGTGTCGTGTTCAGTTGGGACGAAGACCGTGAACGAAAGAAGAGTATGGAACGTGAAAACAAGAATCGAACTAATAACGGTGGTAATCACACGCATCTAACGACACACGTCGAACGGCTCGACGAGAGTGTGGCGTTGAATCCGGACACCGACGAACAGCTCTGAGATCATCATCAGTCGTCTGTGATATTCCTATGCGATCACACATATGCCCCATCATATCATCCCTCAAGCCTCTCCTGTCATCTCTCAGTCATTATCTACTCTCTCAAATTAAGTCTTTACTATCGTGATTTCTTTCATGCCTACACTTATTAAGTATGCTGATCTTTTATTATCTCTACACTACGGTTACAAATAGTGCTAGAGGTTATTTCCGTCGAGTCTGTTAAGAGATACAAGCAGTTTGCCTGACGAGTATGTACTTTGTTATATGTGTTATTAATTAATACACTGAGCTATGTAGAATCACCTTTTTCCCCTTGTTTGATTATTCATTCGTTTTTTATAGAATAAATACTCGTGTAGGTCTTCGAATCAAAATGGGTTGCAGTTTCGCGTTGTCATATTAGGTAAACAAGGAACCGTGATAGAGCACTGAACCGCTTTATTTAATTTTTTTAAATGACGCTTATATGATGTCGTTCATGTGTGACTCGTGCTACTGTTAATTTGATAATAAGGTTGAAAAATGAATTGCACTTTATATTATAAATTATTGTTCATTGGTAGTCAAACAACTCTTTACTAAGAAAATATCTAGTCTAACGGTAGAGACTATGGACCAAACCTTACAGGCACAGTCCACAGACACCTAGATGTGATCAATGCGTATGGGGATAAAAGCGGATACCACCGGATATACCGTGAAGAAGACCACCAGTGAACAAATTGGGTGAAGATACAGCCAAAAAAATGTAACTGAAAGTTATGAGTTACGGCTAGCGATGAGGTCCAGCGACGACAAATCATAGAAGATGGCGGAGACGCAGACAGCAACGTATTTGCAGCAGTGGTTGAGTGGAGCCTGAATCCCATCGCATCAATGGCACCGTCTTCTCGCATCTTTGTCTGCGTGGGACGGAAACAATTTCGAGAGTGTGCAACCGAACTTCTTAAAGGAATCTTCCACGGACCATGGACCAGTGGGCGGGACCGGAAGTGGTTTTGCGACGAAATGCATGGTAGGTACGGATCCACGTTCATGGGAAGGTTTGAAGTGAATCCTGTTCACGTTCGTGCGTTCGACACGTGGATCCGTACCTACTTCCGGTCCCGCCCACTGGTCCATGGTCCGTGGAAGATTCCTTTAACCTCTATTTCGGAAAACGAGAGTGTCGAGCGCAGACCACACACCACAAGTGACGACGACCAAGGAAAAAAGAGGCTTTTTTGAAGTCGTAACTTGTGGGGTGTGGTCTGCACTTGACGCCCTTCTCTTTTGTCGAGTAGAGAGGGATGTCCATTTCCAGTGGTGAATTCGCAAAACGTAATAAACAAAA